GTGTGTGTGTGTGAGAGTGAGATAGAGGGGGAAAGAGAGAGACAAAGAGGGAGAATAGCATACTCAAGCATGGCAGGGAGAGGGGAGGGGTCTGGACAGAGCTTGCAAACAGGAGGCTCAGGATCCAGCTGTGCTCCTCCTGGACTAACAGCTGGAGATTAGATGGAAATAAGGACTTCTCAGGGACACCAGCCAGAGTAGTTAGATGAGGACAAACTGAAACCAGATTCTGATGCCTACTTCCCACCCCTTCACCATGCTTTGCACCATGTAGGACCCTGCAATAGCTCAACCCATGGGTAGGGAGGGAGACCCTGAACTGAAATTGAGCCTTTGGCACATGGAAAAGAGAAAAATAAAGAAAGGTATATGTCTTGCACCCCCTGAGTTTTGTGGGCTAAGTATTCTTCAGACTTCATCGCCTACACTTCCCTTTCTCCCTTCCCATGCAGCATTCCTGGATAAACTGTGGTTTTTACTCACTTGAGTGATTTTTCTAAGCTTCGAGGGGTATGCTGTTGCTGGATGTTGGGTACTTAGCTGGTTTTCAAGGGGGCTTCCTCAGGGCAGTCCAGAGGCAAAGATCCCCACACCAAGGCTGTAGGACAGTGTGACAGTGTGACCTGCTTCAAGGACTCCCAAGAGTTGGACAGCGCCCCACCAACAGTGCCAGGGACAGACCCTCTCCCGGCGTTCCGACTGCCTCAAGCCGCCAATGACTTTGGAGCAACCAGAGGCAGAGAGGGCCCAGTAAAAACTGACACTGAATTTCCCACCCATCTGACCAGATGGGAGCTCAGAACAGATGCAAATCGGATTCGGAGAAACATAAGAAATGTAATTATTTCCTGAACCCAAGTGTTGTGGTGTTTGCAGACTCATATCTGACAGGTCTGCCTATCTCATCAACAGAGGTTTTGTTTTGATTTTGAGGGGAAAACAGGAAAAAAGAAAAGCTGTGAAATTCTCGATTTCATCCTAATAGAGATGTCTCCCTTATAAGCGGCAGTGATAGGAATGGACAAAATCCTCTCAGGGTCAGCTTCCTTATGAGGAGATCACACTCTGCCGTTCTGGAGATCTGAGTCTCCTCCAAGTGCCTCTAGTGGAGAGGCTGTTTTAACCCTACTACCTTTCTCTGAATCCCCTCCTCTGACACCAACAGGAAGGCTGAAGGATGTTTTCATTCCACTTGACACAGACTCATTAGGGCTGCCGGCGAAACTGGATCGGTCTTTAGGTGTCAAGTCCAATCTCGTCACAGATTCCAGGGTGAAATATGATCAAGAGTCCCCCAAACTGCAGTGCGGAAGTCCCAGGCTGCCATGATATAAATGGCATGAGCCTGGCCTAGCTCATCGAAAACCACCAGCTTCCAATTATCCTCCGGCGGAGCTCCGAGAGCTTCCTTTTGGGAAGCTGAAAAGTAATCATAGTTATCATTCTCAGTCGCCACCTTTTCTATTGATTTCCACATTGTCATAGCACAAGGGGGCTCGGCAAAGAACTCGGGTAAGAATCATTATTTCTACTGTGTATTGTTAGCTATTTTTTCCTTTTATGAAAATAGGGACCACATGTGTTGGCAAAAAAGAGGAAGTCTTCATAACAAGAGAACTGCCTTTGATAGTGTTCTGGTCTGATGGCCCATCTCTCTGCTGTGTTATTTCTCAGCTCTTTCTCAGTTTTCGGTGGCCTTGTTTTTCAAGCCTAGAAGCTGATGTTGTTGCCCTTCCTGGCACCACTGCTAACCCCAAATTATAACGAACAGAATGATCTAGGTTTTCATAGGTCCCACAATGAAATTTTTAGATAGTTTTGTTAAATTGAAGCACCATGGACATGGATTCCATCAGCGGCTGGAAGATCCTCCTGGTTGTTTAAATTTTTCTCTCTGAAACTGGATCTCTCTATGGATCCCCAGAGTCTGGCCTCCAGCCAGAGGGGTCCAGCTGTTGAGAATCATCTTTCAACAGAAGTGAAGCTTCTCTGGGACCCTCCGTTGGGGCCCCCTGGAGCATGCTCTTGAAGGAATTCAACAGAGCATGAGGAGGAAAAGATGTAGTCCTGGAACTGTCAGGAGAAGGAATATAACTAGTGGAATTCAGTGAAAAGGGCAGAATATTTTTACAATGATGACTACCATTGATCGAGCAATTTGAGGGGCTGAGCTTCATCGGAAGCCCTCTGATTAATATCAGCAAACAAGTAGTGGGTGCTCCCCAGGTGCAGGACTGTGCTAAACATTTTCCATGAACGCCCACTTCATCCTCACTGAAGACCTCTTATCACCACCGTTTCATGGCTGAGGAATCGGAGGCTCAGAGTTGCTGCCACTGGCTACGGTCATTCAGCCGCTGTGTGCCCTTCTACTCCGGGCTGAGGGCAAGTCCAGGGATGAGGTCAATGTATGGAGGTCAAGAAGGATGAGCCAACGAAACTGAAGTCAGTATGAATCAATACAGAACGGATACAGGTGACTCTTCCCAGGGGACAGACACTTAAGAGCTGCGTATAAATGTGGTAAGATTCGGGTGTTTTCTAAATCTCAGTAAGAAAAACCCCTTCTTCCCCATAAAGGTGGGTACCGATTTAATGGACAATAAGAAAACTATAATTGTGCAAACTGTAACATCATGGCCAAAGGAAAGTCTTTTAAAGGTGATGGATTTGTAAGGCTTGGTGAGAATTTTTCTCTTTCTGAAAAAAGGATGTTTGGGACGCCAGCTGATGGGAGCATGGCCAGTGGTGGCCCCACAGTTGCTGACACCCTTTTGGAAGGCAGTGCTTCTTGAACATGTCCAGCAAACTTCCCTGATGGTGGAGACAGACTCAGATTCCTGATACCTGGGCATTGCCCCAAAGTCTTCTATTTTAGCTTAAAGACTGTTTTAAGAATTTTGCATTGTATTCTACCCGTACCTCAGAAAATGGGATGTAAAAAAGATGGCTGGTGTTTACCCTTTGTCCTTCATTGTCTGTACTCTCCAGGTTTGCCTATCACAGATGGAGAAGAAGAAAGCTCCAAAAATAACTAGCTCTCCTTCTGACAATGTTTTACTTTCCTCAGCTTGGCTTTTACTTAATGAAAGATCACACTGACCAGCAAACGTAAGTATTCTGGCCCATGTGGTCAGCCAACTTCTCACTGCAGGTTGCTAAGTTCAAATCCTTAATAAAACAGTTGTTGGGAGCCTAATCAGTGTGAGTCAAATTCCCAGGAGCTGATCCCCATGGAGTGAATAGACAAGATAGAAATTCTGCACCTGCCAACCTAAGGACAAACGCTTGCAGACGATGGTCCCACACACACATGGCCACCCCACCCTCGAGGTTCTGTGTGAAATAAACTTCAGTCTCTCCTGCTAAAGCTTAGCCAATGGGAAAGGTAAGGCTAGACTCTGACATTCAAAGAGAGGGAACTGATAGAGGGGATGAGGAGCAGGGTCAAGGGGAGACATCTCAGTGACTTGGAGGAGAGGGGGCATCTGGAGCAAAGGAGAACAATAAGGAAATTCACAATAGTGTGCAGGCTATGTGGTTGCACAGCATAGTCGCAATGTATTAAGTGCCTGTGTGTAGTGTGGACCGTGGCGGGTAGGGGCATGAAATTATCACGAGGGTCCACAAGCCCATAGGTGTCCCAATTAGTCTCCTGCAAAGAAATAATATGGATGAGGACGTATTGTAACATTGCACAAGGGAGAACAGCATGCTGGATAAGAACACGGGCCCTGGTGCTGACCGCCTGGCTCTGGGTCCCAGCGGTGCCCCTTCCTGGCTGTGGGACCTGAACACATGTGTAACCTCAGTTCCTTCATCTGTAAAATAGGGATAAAACTACTACCTGCCTCAGTGGTCCTTATTTGTAGTAGCATGATCAAGAGCATACACATATACATGATCAATACCTAATAAAAGTAAAACAACAACTGTTGGCTTTTGTTATGTTATTATACATCACAACGACAATTTATAAAGCTCTATTAATGAGTAACCCTCGGGATAGGGCGTAGACTATTACCAGGGTGAAATCTATACACACGCAATGCATCATTTATTATGGTCCACGGTTTATCCATCTTTTTAAAAAGGTATCTGTAGATGCTGTGGTAATGAGTGAAATGCACACTAATTAAAATTCTTGTTTAAATCATGGAAGCTTTCAGTCACTGGGTGCTTTCTCCAATCCTGAAGCGCACTTACCAGCAAATGAAATAGGCACGACCAACATTGTTGTAGCATTTACTGTGTGCCCGGCATTCTTCTGAGTGCCTCAGATAGATCGACTCGTTTAATCTTTACAACAACCCTAGGAAGTGGGTTATTTTTATTGTTGATTTCACCTGTAGAGAATTTAAGTGATGTCTCCAAGGCTAGTGAGTCACGGAACAGGGACTCGGAGTCAAACGACCCGCCTCCAGAGCCTCTGCTCTGAACCATCAGGCCCATGGCCCCCTAACACGAAGCTCTGCAATGTGTTCTGACATTTAAAATGGGTCCTCGTTGGGAGGGGGGATTGGTTAGCCCGGTGATGGGTATTAAGGAGGGCACGTACTGCATGGAGCACTGGGTGTTATACGAAAACAATGGATCGTGGATCACTACATCAAAAACTAATGATGTATTATATGGTGACTAACATAATATAATAAAATTAAAAACTACAAAAAAAATAAATAAATAAAATGGGTCCTCACACTTGGAAGTGCAGGAAACCACCAGTGCATGAAGAATGAGGTCAAGCCTTTACAGGAGGGGTAGTCGAAAGGAAATTCATTCTACAGTGTATTACGGTTTGATGTAAGGGCTTCCTGTGTGTTTGTGCCCATGGGTTTAGGCTTGGATCATGGGTGGAGGATGGGATGAGAGCCCAGAAAAGTTTGTCTCCAAATCCCCAGCTGGTTTATCCCTAGAAGTCCCCGCCCTGAGACCCCCTTTGGAAACATGCTGGGCAGAGCTGACCTGCTGGTGGCAGGTGGGTGGGACGTCTGACTTACCGGCCGAGGCAGACTGTACTGGTACATTTCTGGGCGATAGGTGGGCACCCACTGCACTCCTGCCCTGGGCCGTGTCATGGTCCCCGGAGCGCTGGTCACCACCTCCGAGTAGGGCAGGTGTTGTGCTGAGCCATAGGCTTCCTGGTGCCGGCCCTGGCCTGCGTGGCCCGCGGACGCCAGGCTGAAGGCCTCCTCCAGCAGCATGTGCATCTGCTGCCGGACCTCGTCGATGGAGGGCTGGGAGCTCAGCGTGGACGTCTCCGAGTGGCCCTTCACCTGCCTTGACCTGCCGTAGCCCCGGGGCTCATTCACTCTGTCAATGTTGGTTTCTTCTATGATCTCAGGCTCCGTCTGGGGGGGGATCAAACACAAGCCCATTGATTTGTTAATGAACTTTCCTTCCCCTTAACGCTGTCTGCACTTTAAAATGTTCAGCTTGGGGGCGCCTGGGTGGCTCAGTCATTAAGCGGCTGCCTTCAGCTCAGGTCATGATCCCAGGGTCCTGGGATCGAGCCCCGTATCGGGCTCCCTGCTCTGTTTGGAAGCCTGCTTCTCCCTCTCCCACTCCCCCTGCTTGTGTTCCTTTTCTTGCTGTGTCTCTCTGTCAAATAAATAAATAAAATCTTTTTAAAAAAAATGTTCAGCTTGGACTTCTGCTATTATTAGGTGTAGTGCTCATTTATGTTAGCACCTCGCTGCCCTATCCAGGAATCCACCCCACAGGGGTGGTCAGCTAGCACTGTGTTTGGAAGGCCACTTGCCAGCTCTCCAGGTGGCTTCACTTTTCTGGAGCTCCAGCGATGCAGCAGGCTTTGCTAACTGGTGTAAGGATGATGAGAAATGGCTTTTCATTGACGGCATTAATGATATTCTCTAAAACCACTTAGAGACATTCTCCACCCTCATGCCTTTTAGGTAAAAGAATCTAGAGCGTCTGGTAGTCTACACCCCAATGGTTGATGCTCTGGACTCTAGACTCTCTAAATGGTCCTGTGTCCAGCCATTTAGGGAATCGCTGGCTGCCCAATGCCAGTTTTATTGGAGAAAGCAACAAAATCCTGCCACTAGATCACACTGATCTCAAAGTGGGCTCCACACTGAATCAGAAGCTCTGGAGCAGGGCCCAGCAACCTGTGCTTTAGCCAGCCCTCCAGGAGACTCTCCTGCCTGCTCAGGGTTGAGACCAACAGATCTAGAATGTTCTCCCGCCTTCCTCCAGTGAACCTTTCACTTAGGGGGCAGCTGCAGTACCTAGGTTGGCAGAGGCTGGGACATCATCAGCTTCCAGAGCAGGCTGCATGGACTGTCTCATGCTTGCCTGCTAATGAATGCTTATTTAAGAAGTCAGCCTGTGTCTGGGTCTATGATAGCCTGAGAGTAAGGCTGTGGGGGAGTAGTTAGTCCACATTCACTCAAGCACGTCCGTGGCTAGAACGTGAGGGTTCCGTGAGAATAAATCAGCATAGATCAGTTTGCCACCCTGCTCTCCATCTATGACGTAAGTGACATACTACCACTTTAGCAAAATTAGACAATATGGATAAGTAAGAGGGAAAAAAAATCTAAAAACCATTAAACTTTGGTGTACTTATTCCACTCCCAAGCCTATCGGGGTGTGCGTGTAAACTCCTTCTCCATACACACGCACCCATTTAAAAAGATTTAGGTATTTATATCCTGGTTCTGGGTGGTTATTATTATTTTACAGAGAATGAATATTCTCCCACCTGGGTGGCACAATTTAACAGCTGAGTAAACCTTGGGGCAATGTCTTAGCTTAGGTTCTCCCATAAAGCAGGACCTGAGACATACTTTATATACAGATCATTTATTTTGGAAAACAATTCCAGGGAATGGGAGTCCGGGCCTAGAATGAGTAAATTGGGGGAAGGAAAAAAAAAAAGCCAATCAAGGGCAGGCACTAAATTAGTGACTGCTGTGGGCAATTGAGGCTTAATTCCCCTTGGGAACCCCCTCCCCGCCCCGCCAAGGAACCAGGCAGAACATGGTTGAGGACTGTATAACAAAATCTTGTCCACCAGCTCTCATCCCCCACTAGTCAAGAGTTGCTCCAGAAAGTGTCCTTGAACTCTGAGATCTGTGCAGGTACCAGATGGGTACAATGGGCTCCCATGGAACGGAGACAGAGAAGCCTCAGGGCAGAAGTAAAAGCTAAGGGACCGCTACGGGGAGGTCAAGCTCCTGCTGCAGAGGACAGATGTTACAGCAAGGCCAGATCTAAAAGGTGTGTTGAGAAGACAGAAGACAGGGCATAAACGATGTTCTAACCAGGAAAGTTACTTCACTTTCTATCACTTGAGTTCCTCACCTGTAAAGTGAGGATAGTAGCATCTGCCTCCAGGGGTCTTACGAGGATTAAATATGATGATCCGTACAGAGTTTAGAACAATAGCATACGGTGAAACACAGTGGTAACCATCGTCACCATAATTATCGTTATTTTTACTTTTACATATTCAACTGCACCTGTTTCTCATGTAATTACTATGTGTAAGCCTCTCGGATATATGAGATAGAGCACAACAAGAAAATGTTGCCAGGGAACTCATTCATAAAGGGAAGTCTTTCTCCCCTTAAAATCTATACACGGAAGGTCAGAAATTTGTTATTTTTCCTACTTTGAAGACATACTCACTTTCCTTTAGTATTAAATTAATACAAGTGCATTAGAGAAGAAATAGAAAATGCAGAAAACACCAAGAAGAAAAGAGACATTCCCTGTAATCTTATCACCCAGAGTTAAGGCTTCGCCGTAGTTCAAGATCAAAAGATGAGGGTCTCTGTCAACTTTCAAATCTAGATTTATCAACAAACATCTACAGTAAGAATTGAGAATACTATTTTTATAGGAACACAAGCAAAAATAGGTCATGGAGTAGAATGCAAAATTACTTTTGCCCCAATAAACAAACTCAAAAACATTTCATATCTGGGTGCATGCCCTCGTGGGGCTCTTATCAATTGGGGATCTTTAGGGAAAGACTTGAGATGGCTCTCCTGGAAATGTGCTCCCTGATGGCTTGATGACACCTTCTAGGGTAGTGAATGCGACTTTTTTTTTTTTTAAAGATTTTATTTATTTATTTGACAGAGAGAGACAAAGCGAGAGAAGGAACACAAGCAGGGGGAGTGGGAGAGGGAAAGCAGGCTTCCTGCTGAGCATGGAGCCCGAAGCGGGGCTTGATCCCAGGACCCCGGAATCATGACCTGAGCTGAAGGCAAACGCTTAACGAATGAGTCACCCAGGGGCCCCGTGAATGCAACTTCTGAAAACAAATTTTCTTCATAATGCAGAGAACATTTTGGACAGAATTTCAAACCCTGAAAGGACTTTAGGAGACCATTTAATCCAAGCCCCATTTTATAGATGAGGTGGTCAAGGCCAGAGTGGTTTAAGTGACTTCTCCCAAGTCACCCAGGGGTGGCTGTGGCACAGTCTAGCTCTCCCAGCTCCCGTCCCCCCCACATCCTGCTGCACCATGTTGCCTGTTACATTTCCCTGTCAACGCTGTTTGCTACCCAAACACTGCCCTTCCTCCCTACATCCCCGTCTCCCTAATAAATAATGGATGCTTAATGCTAAACTACTCCCAGGTGGAAGATTAATGACACTGGGATAAGCTATGATTTTTCCCACCCCTGAGCTGTCCTATGCATTTCCAGTCATATTGGTGGATCAATTATGTAATTTATAGTTGTGCCTTAAGCAGGGCAAAAATATACTTGTTAGCAACAACTAACTCCCTGCTCTGCCACTCTTCCAGGAGCCCTGGGGCGGGACTGTGCCAGCTTGGGGGTTCTCTAAGGTTGGTGGGGGAAATATGATCTTTGATGATGAGGTGGAGACATTTTCTCCAGGTTCCCACTGCGTCCACCCCATAACACCCCAGCAGAAGTCAACCTCTGCTTCCCACCCCAGAGTTTCCATTTCGTATGGGAGGGGGCTTCACTTTAGCTGGAGGGTCCAGAGTTATACCCCAAGTGACCTCAACAGGATTGCTCCAGCCTCCTCCTGTTTTCCCACTGTTCTCACTTGGTTTTTCAGTCTCTTGACGTCTACCGATGGAAACAAGACAAACTGTCATTATACCCTGGGCTTCCCCCTCCTCACACTTGTATTCGCTTATTTAATGTCTGTCTTGCCCAAATCTGGATGCTCCCTGAGCCCATTTCACCTCTGTCTCTTAGGAACTTAGCATATTAAAAAAAAACTTTGTGAAATTAAACCAATAAGAAATTCTGTCCAGTTGCCCATGGGGTAGAACCTGAGGTTAGGATAAAGAGCCCACATTTCCTGACACATTCATTCCCTAAGCCTCAGGCTCCTCATCTGTCAAATGGGGGAGCTGAACTTTGATCTGGGAAGGACCTTCTGGTTCTCACATTTACTGTTTCTTGGACTCTATCTGCTCCAGGAAGGCCTGAGGTCCTCCTACTTTCATCATTCTTGGGGGAATCTCATGTCTACTCATGAAGTAATCTCATGTCTACTCATACCCCTGCCCAACTTCCTTCCCCACCTTGAAACATGTGAGCAGTGATACATTTGCTCTTTTACTTAATAGACAATTATTATTTCAACGAGGCCCTGGGTTGGGAGTTGTGGATACAGCAATTAATAAGATGGTGAGCCAGCCCTCAAGAAGCCCCCAGTCTATAGGAGGAGCCAAACGACAAAGACAACAGCAATAATCATAGCAGATAACATTTATTCACAGTTTATGTGCCAGACACTGTCCAGAGTGCTTTATATATATTCACTCTTTTTCTTTTCTTTTTTCTTTTAAGTTTACTTATTTAAAATCTCTACACCCAATGTGGGGCTCAAACTCGCGACCCTGAGATCAAGAGTTGCGTGCTCTACCAACTGAGCCAGCCAGGCGCCCCTCACCCTTTTTCTCTCAGTAACCTATGAGGTAGCAACTCTGACTGTCCTTATTTTATAGGTGAAGAAATTGGGGTATTGAATATGTTGCCTGTAATTGGCAGAGCTGGAATTTGAACCCAGAGAGTCTGATTCCAGCCCCAAACTGTTACCCATTGTACATATCTAAACAGATAGATTACCATACTGCAGATATGGGCTTTGACAGAAGGACAAACAGACCATCTGTGACCAGGAGGACAGACTATAAAATAATTACTGAGATAATCTCATAGACTCCTAGAAAGATGGAAAACATCAATATATACATATAAAGCTCTTCTAAGAGTGTCTGGCACATGAGCATTTAAAAATTACTAGCTGCTATCATAATTGTTGTTATCTGTCTCATTCCATAGATTGGGAGTGCCTACAGGGCTGAGCCTGTGTCTTAGGCTTATATCCA